AACCCTAAACCCTAAACCAAACAAACCCTATAGAAACCTAAGACCCAAACAAAAAAAACACACAGATCTAAACCCTAAACCCTAAACCAAAAAAACCCTATAGAAACCTAAGACCCAAACAAAAAAACCACACAGATCTAAACCCTAAACCCTAAACCAAAAAAACCCTATAGAAACCTACGCCCAAACAAAATAAACACACAGATCCAACCCGAGCTCCACTTCGAGGTCGCCTCAGGGTCGGCCAGCTGTCGAAGCGACGTCACCTCGCCTCAGGTGGCCTCTTGGTCCCGTTTCTTTTCGGGGTTTGGGGTTTAGGGGTTTAGGGTTTAGGGGTTTAGGGTTTAGGGGTTTAGGGTTTAGGGTTTAGGGTTAAGGGGTTTAGCGGTTTCGGGGTTTAGGGTTTAGGGGTTTAGGGTTTAGGGTTTAGGGGTTTAGGGGTTTAGGGTATAGGGTTCAGAGTTCTCTTAGTGGTTTTCATGCAGATCTGCTGAAAGCAGGTTCAGTTTCTAAGTTTGAGAAAGGATTTGGTTCTGATGTGTCTTCACAATGGTTTCATAGACTTCGTTCCTTGGTAGGGCTTTCTGCAGGCAGAGTATGTTTCAGTTTGGCTTTGGGGTGCTTTGGGGGTTTCGGGTTGGAGGCCATAGGATGAGAGGTTTGAAAAAGTTTCAACATTGCTGATTCAACTCAGGTGTCTTGTGGCGAGGTTTTTTAATATCGTTCCAATCCTTCAATGGTACCGTCAAAGGAATTTGACTTGGAACCCTCAAAGGAATCTGACCTAAATCAACCCTAAACCCTAAACCCTAAACCGAATCTGACCTACATCCTAAGCCCACGTGCAATCGGCACTGCTGAGGAAGGGCTGCGGTACCCTCCTCGCGACGAATAGCGAAAGCAGAAAAGCTTGCAGGATTTTGTCCCTGGGGTTTACAATGGTTTAGGGCTCAAAATGTGGGCCTTCGTGCGCCCTAAACCCGAAACCCTAAACCCCTAAACTCTAAACCCCTAAACCCTAAACCCCTAAACCCCTAAACCCTAAACCGCTCCTGTTGGTTTACGTTTAGGCTTCCGTCTTGTCCAGTTTACCGGTTTTTTTTGGCCCCATAGGTCTCTCGTTAGTCTAGAGCATGAGCTTCAGGGGTTAGGGGTTTGGGATTCGCGTCTCATGGCGTTGCGGCTTGAGAGTTGCGTTTAGGGTTTAGGGTTATTGTTATTGTTCTTATTATGACTCAGATTACGGATGTTTTTGTTTCTGGTTTTGTTATTCGTCTCATGAAAGTTTCTCAGTTTTATAAATATAAATGGCAGTGTAGCCACCTGTCAGTTCTCTCAGGAACAGCGTTTTTGGACTGTCGGGTTGAGGCTTCGTGCCTTGCACTTGTGAAACTTGGCTGTTTCGGGTGCCAGGGTCACGGTTTCCGGCTTTGGCCACTTGCAGTCTCAAGCTGAAGCATATAACATAGAAGCTTAAATAAATGCCAAGATTAGACCTTAAGGTTCCCTGTGATGAAAATACTTTAAAGGAGCCCAAAACCCTCTTCTCCTTCTCAAGGCCCTACATCAGTGGCCTCTGAGCCATACCAAAACTGTTCCCCTTAGCTCCTGCGAAGTCCCCTAAACCCTAAACTCAAAACCCTAAACCTTGGACTTTCTGGTGTGCAGCTGGAAAAAGGGCCCGGTCAAAAACAAACCCAAACCTTAAAGTCCCAAATCCTTAACCCCATGCCCTGCCCCGAACCGTAAAAGACGAATAGGATTCGGGCTCCTTCTCGTCAAGCAAGTGATTCCCGTATAGAAGCCCTAAGCCCTAAACCCTAAACCCTAAACCCTAAACCCTAACCCTAAATCCTAAACCCGTCTAGAAGCCATAAGCAGATATATTTTGTTGGGGGGTTCAGGGAGAACCCTAACGCGCAAAGACCTGTCAGGGTTTAGGGTTTAGGATCAAGGGGTTTTGGGTTTAGGGTTTTGGGACCGAACCTTGATAATAATGGGTCTGCGTGCTTAGAAATGGGGTTTTGGTGTGAAGAAAAGTACCTATTCCCATCCTCGTAACGCCCCGCACAGACTTCTATAAAGACACTTCAAAATACAATTAAATATCAAAATCACGGTGCAAATTCAATAGCAGAGATACCACTGCCACCTATCGAGACGCTTGCGGTTGTGGCCGCCGTCTTTGAAATAGTCAAGGGTTTTTGGGGAAGTTCGACAAGCCTTTTCCTCTTGACCCTTTAAGTTTTGTTTTTTCGTTGGTGTTGTTCCCTTCTGGTTTATGTGTCTGTTGATATACCCGAAACGACCCTAAAAAATTGGCATTAGAATCTATAGCTTCTTGAACACCTTGCAACTCAGGTTGGCCCTGTTGTGCAGAGTACTCTGTGTCGCAGCAGGGCCTTAATTCGACGGACAGATTTCGAAGAGGCTCTGTCCTTCTATGAAACTGTAAAGCTATGGACACTGCTGCCAGGTTGAACGTAGACGAATTCTTGTCCCTTCTCCTCACAATGGACGAGCTTCACTCGTTCGCAATAATACTGGGGCCTAAATATTTACCAGTACTACTTTGGGAGTTCCTTATTATAGCCTTATTATAAATATAGTATAACATACCCCCCCAAACCCTATTCTAATCATTAAGGCCGCCTTAATGATTAGAAAATTAAGGCCCCTATATCAGTGTCTTTGCCCGCAGCTCTAACTTCTGAACACCTGGGGGAGGTTCAGAAGCTGATCACCGAAGACGGGAGAAGCGCCCTGGATGGAATCACTCATCTAAGGGATTTAGGGGTTTAGGGGTTGTGGGTTTAGGGTTTAGGGGCTTCGAATTTGGGCTTTGGAACTTGGGTTGTAGGTTTTAGGGCTTGGGGACGTAGGGTTTTGGAGTTTGGACTGTTTGGACTTGGGGGCTTAGGATTCGAAAGTGGTGCGCAAATGGTTTCGTAGATTGATACTTAATCCAGAGCCACATATAATCTGATCCTACAAAGCCCTTATAAAGCCTTTACGTGACTTGGGTTGACTCGTTGAGACTTTGAAGCTTTTTCGATCCCCGAGCCCTATGTGTGAGATTCATAGCCCCCTAAAAACCTTACCCTGAACCCTAGACGAACCAGAATTGGATATGGACAAGGTCCTCACCGGTGCGGTGGACAAGCTGCCTGCACAAGGTCACGGCAAGCCGATGGGCATTCGAAGCCCTAACCTCTCGACCACAACCCCGTCTCTCAACCGTAAAGCCCCAATCCTAACTCCCATATAGTACATACTAACCCACCCAAATTAAAGACACACACACAACCCTAAACCCTAAACCCTAAAACCTAAAACCTAAACCCCAACCCAAAAAATAAGCCTAATCCCTGGACCCCGAACCCTTCCAAGCCCAGAGACGGTCCTCATAACGGGCTCACGTCCGAGGCTATCGACCGAAAACCTTTCAGAAGGCTGTGGCGATCCTGAGGCCCCAGGAACCTTGGGTAGTAGAGGACTATGGGGGCCTCAATATTTACCTAGATTATTTTGGGGGTTCCTTAGTATAATTATACTATAAGGGACCCCTAAACCCTGTTCTAATTCTTAAGGCCCCTACATTAGGCTTGTAGGGTTTTAGGGTTTAGGGGTCTCCCTGAGGGTCCATGTAACCAAAATAGTACATACTTGTGGCCCAAAGTGCTCAGATAGGGACTGCTTCAAGGGCAACGTCCATACTGTTTTGGGATATGGTCCCTCAGGGGTTTAGGTACGTAGCTTTACTGGACAAGGAAAGGTTGAGGGCAGATGTAAATTGGGCTCAGAGCTCAAGGTGTAGGGCTTGTGGTTTATGGATTTGGGTTGAGTAATTTAGGCGAATAATTTAGGCCTTGGGGATTTAGGAATTAGCGTCTCCGGCCATGAAACTAACATGGCATCGGACACGGCAGTAATCTCAGGAGGGGTCTTGTTTGGGCTTAGGTGGGCATGCAGCAGTGGTTTTCTTTCGACAGAGACGTCAGAGACCCGCGTAAGTCGCTGACTTGCCCGGTCTCCTAAGGCCAAATCCCAGCCTTTCCCTAGACCGTGGACCCTAAACCACTGGTAATAGTAAAAATAATAATCGTAATGATAACAATCGTCATAGCAATGGTAATGAAAAAAAGGAATAGCAATAATAGGAATACCCTAATCCCACCCTAAACCCCCTCAGTAGGTCTCCCGGTAACCTCTCTTTTCCCCTTGTCGCGGTCGGAGGTGATTCCTTAGGTAGCCGGAAATCCTATAGCCAGCTCCCAGAAGGCGCTTTTTGTGTGGTTTCGTGGCCCCTTGAGGGTTTAGGGTTGAGGCTTTTTGAGGGTGTTTGAAGCTTTAGCGTTTTTGAGGGTTTAGGGTTTAGGGTTTCTTGAGGGTTTAGGGTTTTTTGAGGGTCAAGGGTTTAAGGTTTTTGAGGGTTTAGGGTTTAGGGTTTTGGGGGGTCAAGGGTTTAGGGTTTTTGAGGGTGTAGGGTTTAGGGTTTTTGAGGGTTCAGGGTTTAGGGTTTTTGAGAGTTTAGGGTTTAGGGTTTTGAGGGTTTCGGAGGGTTTGGGGTTTTTGAGGGTTTAGGTTTTAGGGTTTCTTGAGCTGTGTGCCGCAGGCGGGAGCAGATGATCTCGACAGACATGCTCAACGAGTTCTCGACCTTTGTGCAGGCCTTCTGTAGCATACTACAACGTGTTCAATGACATACTGTATTCTACCGTAGTAATTCTAACATGGTGAACTGTGGCAAAACAATAAACTATAATGTATTATCCTAAGCCCCAAGCCCCAAAGCCATAAACCCTAAACCGCTACACTGGAAAACCATGTACCGCAGTAGCCTCAGAGGCCCGCTTCAATGACGAGCTCTCGGGGAAGCTCCTTAGCCTGTTTTCGGCCCCTAATCCCCAATCCCTAAACCCTGAGTTCCCGTCTCGGGTTTAGGGTTTAGGGTCCCCCAAACCCATAAAATCCGCTATACAATGAACCGGCAGAGAGCCTTGTAGACCCCCCCCTGATAGGACCCCTTCTCAGGCCGTGAGAAGGCAGATGCTGCGCGCTGGGTTTGTGTCGGAGGGGTCTTTGTGCTTCGCAAGTTTGTATGTGTGCGCGTGTGTATGTAAAGTGTATGTGAATACTTAATCCTAAATCCTAATTCCGAACCAAAGCCTGAAATCCTAAACCCGAAACTTTAGACCCTAAGCCCTAAACCCTAAACTCTATAGGCCCTAAACCCTAAACCCTTCAACCTAATACCCTAAATCCTAAGCCTGAAAACCACGAGAACAGGAGCTCAATGACTTGGCGGAGAGCCAAGAAGCCGCGCTGGCAAACGCAGGGGCGCCCGTGAGGAGAGTTTCTCAAGGTTTCGGGCTCTGGGATGTAGTATTTCGGATCGTTATTGCGTATGGCCGAGGTTGGGTTGCGTTCTTAAGCGGGCCTTGTAACTGTACATGTTTAGACATTGGGAGGCGTCGGGCTGTTCGTTTTGAGTTTGGGTTTAACAAGATGTTTGTGTGGATTTCGCGCACAGCCCTTCCAGTTTACAAAGCAGCAACCTGCGCTGACAAGTACAATTGGGGCTTTAATGATTACCTCTACTGTTTTGGGGCTCCTTATTATACTTGTAGTATAATACACCCCAAAATCCTATTCTAATTANNTAATTATTGAGGCCCCTACAGTAGATCCAGCCAAAAAGGACGTCAGACGAGGCAAAGACAGGCCCCAAAAGGCCTGGAGAGCGTCTTCCATGCCAGCGTGACTGCCTTGACATAATCTAATTTAAGCCCTCATACAGAATTTGCCATGTCTCTACAACTTTTTGGACATCTTGGCTTGAGGTAGGGGATTAGGATTCTGGCCCCCAAACCCTGAACCCTAAAATGTGCAGTTTCGTAAAAAGTCGCTCGAGGTCTCAGTTCCGGATGAATTCCTCGATCCGATCATGTCCGAGATCATGGTACGATCCTTATTGCGGCTTTATAGGGTCTAGGGTGCAGTCACTCACTGCGACTGCGCGCATGGAGTCGGGGTACAATGAGGCAGAATTATATATGGGGACTGTATGGGTGTATGGCATACTTGTTTCAGACCGCTATACGCGCTTCAGCACTGTGCATTCTACAGTTCCCATTACGGTGACCCTAACTAGGATGTCTGATTCTGTTTGCAGATCTGATGTACTTGAATCCCAAGAGGCTTGGGATGTCCGTATGTAGTTCCCTCTCTAGTATCAGCCGTTCCTGACTAGTGGGACTAGGGTTTGGGGAGGCTTCTGGGCGGTTTAGGGACGCACGCTGTGCTTTTGCATTGAGGACCTTGGGTGAGGTTTAGGACGCTCTTGATTCCTACACTCAGATGAGAGCCCTGAACCTTAAAGTCAAGCACTGCTGTAGTCCCTAAACCCTAAACCGTGGATTATATACATGTCGTCTAAAACGCCCCCCAAATTCCCTACATGGGACACCCGATGCCACCCGGAAAAATCATAAGGATCCCTTCGATGCAGTACCCCCCCCCCCCCTCCAAAAAAAAGC